AAAGGTACGGCGGAAAGGAAAATCCGAAATTCCACGCGCAAATGTAAACTTTCTTTCAAAGGCCCCATTTTATTTAATTTTGTCACAGATTCTTTGTCTACTTCCATTCTATATCATTTTCCACTCTTCTCAGGCTCAGACATAACGCCAAAAAAAATGCTCCGTTTTCCATTCCTGTATCTTTTCCTTTGATACATCTCTGCTTCGAGAAGAAAGTTAGGATCTTTTTGTATGGGTGCGTGGAGGATGATGTGGGTTTAGGCTCTTTTTATCGGAGGGAGAGAGATAGCGCACAGAAATGGGTTTGTGTGTATCGGTGCAGAAGAGTTCCGAGCCGATGAAAGTGGGACTGTCGTTTGGGTCCAAAACTGAAAAGCACACCATTCCGCCGTCGCCCGTCAAAGAAAAACAGGCCAATGGTAACCGTCCGGTCAAATCGCAGTCTCCCTCAACCGTAAAGGACTTTGGTACGTTGATTTTCTCTACTTTGTTGGGCTTTGTGGGAATGAAACCAATCTGATGGATGTTCATGTTCTGTTTTTAATCTTTGTGTTGATGTAAATTTCACCTTTTTATTCCTTTCTCTGGTGAAGTGATCATATTTTTGTATTTGTAATAGATCTGAAATGGGGTTGTGGGGTTTGTCGGAGTTCTTATTTTTTTATATGTTGATGTCATGTGAAGCACTTTACTTTATATCAGAGAAGGAATGTTTGTTGCTGGAAACGTGTATTACTAAAAGTTTCTATACTTAACACTGATTTGTTGGCTCATAATTGATGCCCATTTGAACTGTTGTTTGGCTTTTTATATCATTATGGATTTTCCCTTTTTTTAGCCAGTCAAAATTATTTCCTTTATGTGAATTTTGATTCTTTGGAGCAGTTTCATTAATACCTAAATGTAGAATTGCCTCTTTTTTTTCCTGAATTTTCGCCAGTGAAAATTAGTTCATATGTGTGAATTTTAATCCTTCCCAAAATAATTGTTGTTTTTTATACTCAAATTAGATTCAATTGAAAATGAATTGAGTAAAAACTGGACAATTATTATTATTATTATTTGATAAGCAACTGGGCAATCATTTTGGGATGGAGGGAGTAAAACCTTCCTGATTCCACTCTATTCAATTTTGGTGTTTTCCCCTTTTTTCCCTTTTTTATTTATGGTTTTTTTTTTTTTTTTTTCATTCCTAACATGGGTTAAAGACTTAAAGGTTTATTTATTTTTGGAAAAAAGGAAATGTTTCCTGTTTAACAGGGGAAAGCTGATTAAATGGCTGCAGACAAATGCCCTCTTTTTTCTTCCTTGACTGGATTGAGAAATTTTCTATACCATTCCAGGCATTTCTAAAAATTTATGATACATGCTTTAGATTGGGTTAAATATGTTGCAGTTAATCCATGAGCCTTTTGCTGTCTTTTTAACCCTTAAGCTAATGGAAGTTCTGCCCTATATGCAGGTAGTAAAGAGGATACTTTTTTTGATTCCCAAGCATGGTTAGACTCGGATTGTGAAGATGATTTCTGCAGTGTTAATGGCGGTAAGAATATTATTGGAACTGTTTAGTTTTATATGTCTCGCGATATTATTACAATAGCAGCGTTGTGCGTTAATTTGTTTGTTTTTATTACTGTCACATATACAAGGTAAGTATCATTATTTTTTCAATTTGTCAGGGTTTCTACATTTCCATTGATAATGAAGTTGTGTCATGGAAAATGTATACATAAAGCCTTGTTAGTTCCACAGAAATACTAATCTGTTACCTTCATTTTCTTTATCTGATTGTTGTCTTATTGAAATGATTATATCTTTTTTTTTACAGATTTTACGCCATCTCGTGGTAGTACTCCAGTCCATCATAGTTTCTCAGGGGGTACAACTCCAGTGCACAAAGCCCTTGTGAGCAGGACTCCATCTCCCATTCCTGAACCATCTCCAACAGGAGAAAAAAAGAAACTGCTTGAACTGTTTAAAGAGAGCATTGGAGAAGATCCAGATTTTGATGGACAACATAACTCAGGCAACCAGAGTGTTGCCAGTGGAAAACCAGAAGTGAAGTCGACTATCCTAGACCTGCTTTCAAAGTCTGCAAATGGTACCCCTTTGGTCTCTACAGCTAATTCTGTGAGTAGTAGTGGAAGTACTGCAAAAGGAGGAGATGACACAAAGGGAATGGAGAAACCTATAAGAGCTTCACTGTGTTGCCTCCCAAGCTTGGTATCACATCGAGGAAGAAGAAGGTGAATCATACCATTGCTGTAAATGAAAAGCTTTGATTTTCCATGCATTTACTAGCATATATGCTGAAGAAGTCCGGATTTAGACTCCAAGGGATCGCAAGCTAGAGGTAACTCTCCACCTCTCATTTTGTTAAGCACCATGAAGTTTGGATTCGAGGCCATGTAAACATGAACTCCACGAGGATTTTATAGCTCTGTCAGCTCCAAAGTGATTTTTTTTCTTTTTTTGGGACCAGAAGTCTATACCTACCATGCAACAAAAATTTTATATGAAAGATCATAGTAATGAACATATTGAGACACTGCGGTACTTGTTTGCATACCCAGTCTTAATAACAGTGCTTGAATATCAATTCTGCTTTATCTTTACATTTTCCATTCATCTTCTTCCTTAATTGCTTGTCTAATGTTTATCCATTCATCCCTTGATGTAATGTTCCATGCTTTATCGGGGAAGGAAAGGAGATATCATTGAGAGGTGCTGAACCTTGTAAAAAATTGGCTAAAGTATGCGATTAGTATCTTACTTTATATTATGAAATTTTTTACTTTTAAACTTAAAGGTATAAAGAATTTAACTTCTGAACTAACGAAATCTGTTAACTACAGGAAAATAAAATATTTACAGGATCAACCTTCAAAAATTAAAATTGTAATAATTTAGTTTTAAAAGTTTAAAAATAAAAAATTAATAAATTAAAAGGAATTAATGGATGATTTTCTTATATACACTAAAATAGTATTAAATATTTACAATTAAATTAAGCAATTAGCTCAATTTAAAGAAAAAATATTGATTAAGATTAAAGAAAATTTCTTAGTTGAGTTAAAAAAGAAAGTCCAAGAACCCAAGAAATTACAGTTAAGAATTTTTTTTTAATTTTTATCAGATTTTTTTTCTTTAAATTAAGCTAATCACTCGATTTAATTGTAAATACCTAATATTGTTTTTGTGTTTGTGGCAAAGCTATCCATTAATTATTTTCTATTTACTAATTTTTTTAATTTTTAAAATTTTAAAAGTAAATTGTTATATTTTTAATCTGTAAGGATCGATCTTGTAAATATTTTATTCTCAAGAGTTAACGGATTCATTAGTTTAAGGGTTAAAATTTCTAAATTTTTTTAAGTTTAAGAATTAAAAATTTTATAGTATAAAGTGAGAGACTAAAAATTTCAAACTTAACAAAGTAAAGGACTAAATAAATATTCTAGCGGAAAAAATTGACAGGGGGATTCAGGATGGTTATTTAATAATTGCCATAGATCTGGGCTGGTAGCTTGCCCCAGAAAAAGATGCTAAAGTGCAGCTTTCAACAAGGTAGCTGGTGGTACACCAAGACAATGGTCCCTCCATAAAATATCTGAAACACCACCATGAGTCCTGCACTTCTTTTCCAATTGATAGCTGCATGATACAAGAGAGGTTACATTTTGACTCTACTGATCTTTTGTCCCGACATGAATGACTTGTTTTAACCAATTGCTATCATATGAAAGGAGGATTAATACTGATCAACCTCCAAAAAAAAAATAAAATCTGAAAAGGAAAATGCGTTGTCATTAAGTTATTGCTGTTTGGTATACACGAGAAAATTTACTGAACTGGATTTCGATTTTGGACCTCCAATATTTGAGAAAACATCTTTGAATAGTGAAATCTGGAAGTTAGATATTGCAAAAAGAGGAGATCATTACTGAGAAATT